TTTTTTAATTTGAATTTGTCAAAATCCTGACTTTAAATCAAATTTAGAGAAGATAATAGATTTGAATAATCTATTTAATAGATCTTTCTTTTGAGATATTGGATAACGAATCTATTGAAGGGAAAAATTGAGAGGTTTGTAATTGATAACGAGTCAAGGGACTTCTCGTTCAATTTCAACTGAATTATTGACAGCTCCAAGGCGACTTGCTTGGTCTAATGAGCTTTTTATCAAGGAGATCTTGTATTTCATTCATACAATGATCAAGTAGATCTTTGTTCATTTGAATAGGTCGAGATTTTATAGAAATATTTGATTCTTGAAATTCTGGAATGGATGGAAGAGAAACAATATGTCTTTTTCTATTTCAAAATGCATTTGGTATAGTAGATCATTTTTTTTTCAATTTGTTTTTGAAAATCTGAGATTTTTTGAATAATTAAAGAATCTTGTAATCTCTCCCCAATTTTGAAATCGTATTTCTTCTTGAAGAAATTGGATGTGATTTTTCTTAAAATTAATATTATTGATAATTTTTGAAATCGAAGCATCTTTTAAAGTATTGATATCTTTAAAAGAAGGTGGATTTGAAAATTTAAAAGTAATTTTCTTTNNGAATTTTTTTGAATAATTGAAGAATCTTGTAATCTCTCCCCAATTTTTGTAGTTAATCCTTTAACATCTGCTGTAAAAGGATAAATGTGAACAAGAAAGGGTGTACCAAGAATAATTTCTTGATCAAGATCTTTGAATAAATAGAAAATATTTTTAAAACAAATATCTGAATGACAGACATGTGTTTTGGAAAGCTTGTATTGAATATCAAGTTTTCGACCACTGGCTTCGTAGATTCGTTCAGTAGTTTTTTCAAAATATTTTGTGGGAATAAGACATTCCCTAATACAATTTAGATCAACACCAGAATCAATTAAGACTCGATGATGAATGTTGAATTCTTTCTTAATGACAATGGTCATATTGCAATACCATTTTTGAAGTTGAATTATTGAAATAACATTGACCTTTTCTTCTTCAGATAAAAGATGAAAATATTTATGAGATCTTTTGCTAGATTTTGAAGATTTATGAGATCTGAAACTTGAAGATTTCTGAGATTTTGAATCAAAATTTTGATGATAAGCATGAGATGTATCACTGCTTGAAGATGATTCATATTCATTATTTTTTTCATGTTTATCAACTTGAAGATGAACAACTTCCATTTTGATATCTCGAACTTGTTTTTCAAGATTTGAAATTTGAGATTTCACGATATTAACTTTTGCACAAAGGTCAGAGGTAGATATCGCAGATTTTTCCTTTCGAAAACGATTGTGAGCATCTTGAAGATTGAATGCTTCAGGAGTAGATGTTGAAGGTAAAAGAGAATTGAATTTGTTTTTCAATTTTTGATCGGGAATCTGATCAATAATTTCTTTAATAAGTTCTTCTTCTTTAGTAAGAACATTTAT